TCCGGGTAAGGTAGACCGGCCGCGGGCATGGCCTCCTCCAAACCCCTGTCCCGCTTCTGGGAGTGGGGCAAGAACATCGTCTGCGTGGGGCGCAACTACGCCGACCATGCCAAGGAGATGGGGAGCGCGCTGCCCCGGGAGCCCCTCTTCTTCCTCAAGCCTTCCTCAGCCTACGTGCGCGAAGGGTCGCCCATCCTCCGGCCCTACTACTGCACCAACCTGCACCACGAAGTGGAGCTGGGGGTGGTGATCGGGAAGAGAGCCCAGGCCGTGGCTCAGGAGGCTGCCATGGAGCACGTTGCAGGCTATGCCCTGTGCTTGGACATGACGGCCAGGGACACGCAGGAGGAGTGCAAAAAGAAGGGGCTGCCATGGACCTTGGCCAAGGGCTTCAGTTCCTCCTGCCCCGTCAGTGACTTCGTGCCCAAGGAGAAGATCCCAGACCCTCACAAGCTGAAGATCTGGCTCAAGGTGAACGGGAATCTAAGGCAGGAAGGGGAGACGTCCTCGATGATCTTCTCCATCCCCTACCTGATCAGCTACATCAGTGAAATAGTCACCCTGGAAGAAGGGGACCTGATTCTGACAGGGTCTCCCAAAGGAGTGGGGTCTGTGCAGGCCAACGATGAGATAGAAGCTGGGATAAGCGATGTCCTCTCCATGCGGTTTAAGGTGGCACAGCAAACGCGTAGATCCTGACCAGGAGCTGGGCTGGGGCCATGTCTGTGTGGGAAGAGGCTCTTTTGGGAACATCTGGTGAACAAGGAGACACACAAGCTGTCCTGTGCGCTGAACTCTTACAGGGCCCAGGCATTTAAGGGACTGTGGCACATCAGGGACACATAACCCACAGGCTCGAAAGGCATTTAATTAAAACAGCCCCATTTCCATGAAGGCTCCAACTTGGACCTGGAGTCCATCCCAGCTTGGGGCAGAGGGTTAATAATACCTCAAGCGTACCTTGGAGCTGGGCTCAGCGTGCCCACCAGCTGAGGAGGGGCTGGGATGGCTGTCACAGGGTGTGCTCTTCTGTTCCGCTGATCTTTGAGCTTTGCCAATGCATTGCCTTAAAATAAAAGCGACAAATTAAACGGTTAAAATGGTGATGTAGGAGCTAAAGCTCACCCATGCTATGTAACGTCAAAGATGGATGCGTAGCAGTAAATCAAGAATTACAGCCTCAGAAAGCATTTCTCTCCTTGGGGTATTCTTCAATAAAAAGATGTTTGCTTTTCAGATTGGTTTCACGATTCCTCCGTGCGTTTTTCAGATGTGCAAATTAAATGAGGATTGCTTTCCCTCCCACTCCAAGGGCGTAGCACAGCAGAAGTGTGCCAGATGCTTGGCAGATCTCTTTTCCTAAACTCATTTTTAGATAACGTTTCTAAGAGTGAAATAACACAAAAGATCAATGAGCAGCTCCTTGGTAAAAGTGACCAGAAAACTTGAGTTTTACCAATTTTAATGTATTTTAAATAAAAATCTAACTGCAGAAATCGCCTTTTTTACGTAATGCAGTGCAACAGTTGGAGTTTTAAAATATTTCCAGCTGTTAAAGAAGCCACGCTGTGTAACTTTTCCTGTTTCCAAACTCCAGCTGATCTAACGCTCTCTACCAGCTTGCATGACAAGCGAGCTCCCTTTCAATTCAAAGGAGTGACAGAGTTGTAAAATATAATTAAAAAAACCCTCCCCCTGCAAACATCAAAACTTACCCTTTTCAAAGGTTGTGCAGAACTGACTTATTTCTAACAAAAACAGATGGATTTTGATTTTTTTTGTTGTTTTTTACGTACATGCAAGCACCAAAGTGAAACGCTTCCATTTATTGGAGCCAGATCTTAATAACCACTCTGGTTTTAAGAGTGCATTTGGCGAGTCTTGCCGAGAAAATTACCGTAGCCCGAAGATGAGCACCTCTGAAAGAGCAGCGTGGTCCAGGATACCGCAAATCACACGGTAAAAATGAAAAGCAGAACATGTTACAGAAGAAAAATAGACATTTTTCTATCAACTCCTCCAGTGCACGCAGCTGTAGCACACCAGTACCCAGACGGCACCTCCGTGGGTCCTGACCCTGCACACACTTCACTGCATTTTGCCTTAAAGCACCTGTGAAAGTTCCTTGTATGTTGAGGCCTAAACGCTGTGAACATAATTCAGGTTGCTTCTAAAGGCAGCCTAAGGAACCAAAGTCAACTGCAACAAAAAATATTCAGCTCTTACGTTGAACAGATCCAGCCCCTGGCTCAGAGGAGTCGAAATGTTGCTTGGTTTAAGGCTGCTGCTGTCAGCAGGGAAGCTGTGCGCTGAATTTGATGCAACCCGATGAGCGGGGCCAAGCTGAGAAGTCAGCCCAGAGCAAGGAGGTTTTGTGAATAATTCTGAAAGAGGAAGGATTAAATATGTTTTCTGTACTGTTTTGGTTTCTTCGTGCCTGTCAACCATTACCATCTATGGGAACGGCAGCAACGCATCATTTGCAGCTTGGCCTTGAGCCCTGTGTATTGATTGCTGAGCTGGGGTGTGATTAAAATTAACAAAAACATTCACTTCAACATTTTAATGAAATAAAATAAGACTTAGCCTGCCCTACAGAAATCAGCCTTGCAAACATCGGGGCTATTTCCAAGCCTCTGCAGTTGCCAGAAGTGCTGCGTTTGGACTCACCGATGCACACCAGAAACCCAGGCAGCGTTTCAAAGTGGGTCTTTATTTTTTGAACAGACACAAAAGTGGCACGAAAGTAGCGAGGCAGTTAAAAACACAGAAGTTCAACAGATGTCTTGTGCTATTTCTTATTTCTGAATTATTTTTTTTTTCACATATATTCTAAACTGAGTGAGGAAAGCCTCCATCCCCCTTGTAAGGGGGGTAAGAGCTTTTCTTAAGCTGAGGCCCTGGTGTGCTTTTTAAATCACCTGAAAAAAGATCAATACAGAAGCCCACTTACAGGGGTTAATAATTCATATTCCTTCTTTACCATCAGAACATTCTTAGCAAAATATGACAACAACAGCGTGCTGCATCTAATAATACAGGGGAGAAATGCTCTTTCTCCTGGCTGTTTTCAAGCCATACACTGTAAGCTCTTATTTCCAGTCTCTTTTCCCATCAGGCTCTGACTCGCCTCTGCAGGGTCTGCCAGTTTGCATGAAAGGACATTCACTTTCAGTCCGCTTCTCCAGCTGGGTGACAAAGTAACCTGTAAAAATAATCAAGGGTCTTTGTTTTTACTGCTGTGTAGCACTTTGAAATGTGTTATTTTCAAGTATCACACAATACTGCCAGATATGGTTACACAGATGTTATTTTAGACACGGGTACACACATTTTATGCTGTATTCCTCTCACTGCTGAAGTAAAACACTTGCATTTTTTCCTGGAAATAGTGGCAAAGGCTGGGGGAGATGGGAGATTTGCTTAGCAGGACGAGTTTAAAAAAGAAAGTCAGTTTAGAGTGGTCCTAAACCAGGCAGTTCTGTGAGAAAGGAATCCAGTCAAGTACACAGCATGCAATTTAGAAAGCAAGGAATATTGTGAGTAATAGCAGATCTTCTAACAACTGCTCCCACGTGTGAATCTGATGTTGTCGCTTTAAGGAGAATCACAGATGTTGGAGATGCCTCATCACGTTATTTCCCAAAACACAGGTAACTAAGGAATATATTTAGGCAACCCTGTATACCATGCAGTCTATTACATACATAGATCAGGCTTTATTCTTGTCAACTGGTAGTGTTAACTTTATAAACCTACAGCCAGTGAGTAAATCATGTACAGATGCTTTTGAAATACCAGCTCCTTAATCAGTATTGGCTAAGAGCAGTTTGTGTCTTTCGTATTTTGCCTGAAAGAGGCCTCTATATCTGACCCTGCAGGGACATCCCTAATCTTGAAATTACGACAAGGACTATTTGCTTGGAATATTCGGAGTATTGTACAAAACCGATTCATTATTTTTAAAAGTTCAGCAGAATTGAGATGGAATTTTTCAGCACTAAATATACCACCTAATGGGGAACAGCCACTGTTTTAAATTAACATTAAATACTAACTTTAACATAAATCTTGCTTCGTTCCAGAAGAAGTTGCCATTTCAATGCAGTCTTCTTGTCTTCTGTTAGAGCAAGGAACTCATGGACCTGTTCATAACAGCGCATCAACAGAACATGTCTTCAGCATACAGTTATAACACCTCCACAACAAAGTGATGATGAAAAGAGCCTCTTATGCATTTTTTATACATTTCTACGCTGTTTTTTCCCCCTCTTCTAACATTGTGCTTGGTGTAATATGTGTACCAAGACAGTCAGATGAATCTGAATAAATTGCAGGGTGTTTGAGAATCAAAATTAGGGAGTGCCAGCCATGTTTTCAGAGAAGTGTAAATTAAAGTATTCACTCTTACATTTAATGTCTTTCTCCTTAGCACCTACTGACTTCTAGCTTTTAACTTGTTAAAAAGCTCTGTGTGTGTATGTATCCATATATACATGCAATTTTTTAACTGGTATATACACACATATACATGAGGAACATTTACATATAATTTTCATCAGGCTTCATGGCTCAGCTCAAATAAGAACCACCAAATTCATTTCTACTTACTGTGCAGCCTAGTGTCTCCTCAGCGACACAGTCAGAGAGGTAACAAGAATAAAGAGTGCCCGTGTGATCTGTCAGATCAAGCAGAATGTCAAAGCTTGCAAAGGTTGACTTTGAATCCAGAGAGACGTCGTGGCAGAAAGTGCACGTGTTTGACGTTTCGTTCACCAGGAAGCGACAGATTGAACTGAAACATAAGATGATGATTAATGCACATATGCAATCCCTCCGTTTCTAGAACTGTTTTCTAGACTGAAATTTCCTCTTTTAAAAAAAAACATTCATCTTCTAAACTCTTAAGTCTGTCTGAGGCAAAGCGGCCTCTTTCTTCTTCGCTCCTCTAGACCAGAAAGAGCGAGTCCTTCATAAAGCCAAGTCAAGCCTTGCTACTTCTGGGAGTCTACACAACCGAAATTCACATGGCTTCCTCCAGAGGAGCCTTATTTCATATCCAGAACTGGGCTAAATTATTGTTCCATCTAATTTGAGTCAGGGGAAGAGGGATAAGCGGGTTTTACTACAAATTTAAACCAGGCGGTTGCTTACCATCTGTTGCGAATAACTTTAGATGCATTATCATCAATGTCCAGTGTAGAGATGTAGCCATAAATAATGCCGTAGACTGGTTCAAGTTTCCCATCACTCTGTAAAGCTTTTTCTTTCAGCTGTTCCACAGTATAAACGTTGACGATAGTCTCCACTGAAAGTTTAAAGGATATGTTAAGCGTGTCTGAGAAAGAAACAGCACGGAAGAGCAACAAAAAGGGATCTTAAGGTAATAAAAGGAGAGGATTTGATCTAAAGCACTAGAAAATCCCCACACACCTTCCTTTTGAAGCAGCCTTATCATCTGGGGACAAAGAATAAAACAAAAGGGGAGTGAAGTGAGGAATATGTCCAATATTTAATCTTTGTAACCTCCAAAAATGAGTTTTTGACAAAAACTTTCCCTTTATATTTTTCATACTTACTCAAGACAGAAAGAACACACAGACAGGCTGCAAGGGAGCACACAGGCACTGAAGATCCATAACTGATGTTATAAGAGATAGCCCCAGTAACAGCAGGCCACAATTTAAGCATGCAGCCAGGCTATACCTTACTTTAGTTTCCCTGAACACACAGAGCAAGAACTTGAAATTTCAATTGCTCTGTGAAAT